AAAACCTTACCTTGTGTTTGAATCAAGCTCGACTCGACCTTGGCTTGTTAATGAGCTCACAAACTCTACTCGAGTGTTGCTCGTCAATCAACTCGCGAGGTCGGATCTCATCTCATATTATAATTTAGTTCCTAAATTTTAATTGCTTATTTCATGTTATTTAATAATAACTAGTATCTAAACAATCTATGATACATAATGCGTCTTTACAAATATAAACAAGACATATTTGGTCATGTGCTCATATTCTTAAACATTATATGTGATGGTATATACAATCTCTCAAACCTATGAATTATCAATAAGCCAACAGATTAACCATTAATCAATTCTCCATAAGTTCCTAGCCGAGGACGTTCGCTAGCCATACTATCAAATCAACTTATAGTTAAAAAACGAGCCAGCACAGGAGTTGAACTCAACAAGCCACTGAGTCGAGCTGGATCGCGAGTTTTCCAAGCTGAGCAAGGTGAAGTTTGAGCTCGTCTCATTAGTAAATGAGCCAAGTTTCGTATGATTTTTTCTCGAGCCACTCGTGAGCAGCTTAGCTTATTTGCACCCCTACGCTCATCACAATACCAATCCGCTTTTAGTCACGAGGGATGGGTTGACATGTGACCTATGCATTGGAAATTGATAGGAGCTCAACATCCCTGCTACTTTGTTGAGTGTGAATTGAATGTTGAGCATCCTCTTATTAATATCAATATCTTCCTTTGTCACTATGAACACTTGGTAATTTTTATTTTTATTTTTATAACAAGTAGAAAAAAGCCATTAGTTCAAGTAGAACTATCCAATACATGAATTAGAAACATTAACTTGTCTTCGAGCATTAAAAAATGGAAACTTGAATTATTATCGACAAGGTTTGAACTTCAAACCGATTATAAATATGTAACAGGTTTTTGGAGGTACAAGCTACAAGCAGATTTCAACAAAGGAAAATTAATCAGGTGGCAACAACAACTCCATTATTACAATCCTTATCTGAAGTATATCCAGCCTGTTTGGATACAATTCCGGAAGAAATGGAAATGGAATTCAATTTTTTATTTTTATAGAATTCAATTTCCAATTCTAGTGTTTGGTATAATTCCTACAACTATGGAAATGAATTGCACTTTTAACCATAATGAATAATGTAATATGTTTGTTTTATTTTGGGAAATGAAATATGAATGAGAGAGAAAGAGAGTAAAATGATAGTGGGTCAACAAAATAATAAAAAGTATTGATGGGTCCCACTAATTTCATCTTCATTCTCTCAATTCCTATCACTTTTGATAGGAATTGTAATTCCCATATTTTAGACCCATTGGAATTCAATTCTCAACCTTTTTATTATTCCAAACATAATATATGGAAATGGAATTGGAAATGGAATTCCAATTCCTTACTTTTTTGTCAATCCAAACAGGCTTCCAGCAACAATCCGTTCAGCGACACACTAACTCGAAAGTGGAAGGATTTATAAAAACCCTCATCAATCAACTTAAGCAGAAGCAGGAAAAGAGTACAACACTGGAACAACAACTTCTCCTTTGCAGGGGGAGGAAGAAGCAATAATTCAATCAATCAATGTTATTCAGCAACAGTTAAAGATTAACTACATCGACGTTAGTACTCTATCAATTAGCTCTACTAATGGATACTCATCAACACCCACCATAGACTTGCTAAAAAGAAAAGTCAGCAGCAACACAGCCATCTACTACTAGGGGTGGCTATACGGTCCGGTCCGGTTAAATTGGCCCAAATTGATCCGGTCCAGTCCGGTTTTTTTGAAAATATAAGGACCGAAGATTGGATTGGATACAGTCCGGTCTTGATCCGGTCCAGTCTTGACCCGGTCCGGTCCCAATTCGGTCTTGATTTTATATTGAGATTGTGGGAATTTGAGTGGCCTAAGGCCTAAAAGGGTGAGGAGTTGGTTAAGTTTTGTACTAAGTGCAAAGGTTTGTGACCGTTTATGCAAATTACCCTTAAGTTTTGGGTGTTGAGCTCTCTTATCCGGTCTTTATCCGGGTTTTTTACCTCAAATCTAAGCCCAAAGATTGGATTGGATTGTTTACTATCCGGTCCCGGTCCGGTCTCGGTCCGGGTTATACGGTCCGGTTTCCGGTTTTTCATCCGGTCCCGGTCTAAATAGCCAGCCCTATCTACTACTACCAGCAATAATACACAAAAGATAGCAAGTGGTATGTCATATTCAATGGACCATATCGAGGAGTATATCACAACTGGGCCATCGCTAGCCAGCACATCAACGGCAAACCAGTCCAACATCAATCATTTAAAACAAAAGAAGCAGACGAAGAAGCATTTAGACAGTCTTACAAGGTGATGGCAATGAAAGAACCAGTCAAGAATCAAGAGCAACAATCACATAAACTTATCATGAAGATACCAGTATCAAGAGCATCCCAACCACCAAAGTAAAAGAAGAACAATTAAAACCAGTCTTTCAGATTTCGTATCCAACTGGGATATGATAATCAACTACGAAGAAAAACACACAACCATGGGTTTTTACCCCGTCAGTCGAGGAGGACCCAAAGCAGTAATCACAGAAGAAGCATCACCAGAACTCTCTTTTGAGTTCCATCAATATGGTTTAATCGACACTATCTACACTACAACCATGAAAGTATTTGAATACTTCCCACAAAGAATGAGGAACGTAATCAAAAAATATCTTGAGCTATTCGCCAAGGAACGAGAAATATTTCTCAAGTATACAAGCAGCTACCCCATATTCGATCAAGACAAACTATTGGTCGGATCAAAGGCAGTTATCCTTATGGGAGTATCAAACCATGATTATCCTACCAGAGATGACCTACGAGATTATGAGAAGAATTAAGACTACCAAGTAAAGGGTCTTCTAGCAGTATGCAGAGCATTAACCAAGATTGAACCGGAAAGTCAGATCAAAGTCAATTACAGTAGCCCCGATGCCATCATCACCAGCAAATCTAGAGGAAACATGACCACAGAAGAATGGACCATGATAACAGATAAAATTAAAGAAAAGAACATTAATACTTAATAAATAAATCATAGATATAGTAAAAAAAGTGTAATTTAGTCTGAATAGTTGAAAGCTGAAGTAATCATTTAGGATGAAAATATGATTTCAGAATGGTAAAAAAAGGAGATATAATAAGTTGATATTGAATTATTGATGAAGTATGATAAAATGGGGGAGGGCATATCGGAAATATGCTACCCATTTCCCGCTCCAAACCATTACTAGTCGGGTAATACCCGCCCAAACAGTTGAGAGCAGATCAAGTCTCAATTGCCATTGATCTCTATTGCAAATCAATTGTTGTAAAAAAACAATTCATAATTCTCGACTCCAGATACTTCGAAAATCAACATATCAGAGCAGTATGATCTTCTTGATCATCGTCATGAACCTCCAGACCTTTCTTAATATCATAGGGTTCACAAACCATTTGGCTGACGACTAATCTGCCCTTGTATTTCTCAAACTGACACCATGTTGTGAAGCCACCGAGATGTCTTTAATTCCTCTGTACCCAAATAATGGGGATGATGAGCAATAATACCGTGCCATTAACGGGTCGTTTGCTTCATGGATTTGAAAAATGAGGGTTTTGATAAAACTTGGGTTTTGGAAAACCATGGATATATGATGGATTGGTGGCATTATGGATTTGACCAAGTCTATTGTTTGCTTGTTGGATTTGATTATAGATTTTATTTGAATAGATTTGTGGATATGAAATTCAAATTACATTGTTACCCTTATCTTATCTAATTATATTTCTATATTATAATCCATAAATTTCATTAAAAAAATCCAACGCATACAATGAAATTTTAAACTCTTTACCACTATGTGGACTAATAATTCAACTACAAATATAGAAATGTATTATAGTTTGGCACTAATTAACAACTCATCTAATAATGTACGCAATATTATGTATCAATTGCAACCAATTGCTTGCTTTATTGCTACAACTCATCAACTTCTTGCTAACTCCCCGATTTTGAAATTATTTCCTTTGTAATTCCAATGTTTGTGTTTGGCATTATTTGCTTTGTAATTCCAGCAATAATTACTTCCTTCTTCTGCACATTCGATCGAGTTTTGCTGACTACTGATGATGCACCTGAGAAACTAATTAAAGCAAACACACCCATGCAACTGTAGAGTTAGCCACAGCGACTGGAGAAGAAAACAATCGAAAGAAGAAGAAGAAAGAAGAATAAACTCATGTGTCAGATCATCCACACGAATATGTCGAGCTTTTACGGCAAAGGCTGAGTCCTTTAGCAGAGAAGCAACGTCGCCTACTATCATCTTCAAATCACTAACTTCCTGCGCTCATTTATATATGTGTATTAATATTCCCTGCAAAAAATTTGAATTTTCATAATTGTGACTATAATTCTTTTCATAGTTGTGGCTATAATTCCCCACTTCATAATAATTATGGCTAATATATTGTATTTACCCTAAAAAAGCTACATTTGGCAACATAACCATAATGACAAACGACTAATTACATCTTAGTACACAAATATATGGTCAGGCGTATGAGCACTTCTACTATGCTATATAGTATTGGTGTTTTAATGTACAACTTAAAGTTGTACCATAACATTAAATGTATAAGTTTAGGTTGTACCACAAAGCAATTTGTATCATTATGTTATGGTACAACTTTACAGCTTGAAGTTGTACCATCACATAAAGGTACAAGTTCAAGTTGTACCATAAAATAATTTGTACAAAAAGTATAGGTACAATCTGAAGTTGTACCATAACGTAAATGTACAATTTTAAGTTGGACCGTAAATGCAAAACCCTATAACACCAATACTATATAGCATTGTAAAATTTCTCGAAGCATATATGTATTGGGATAACTCCTCTTTGTTATCAAATATCCAATACTTCATAGTTCATGGTCAATAGTAAAAGATGAAATAACAAAAGTAAACATTAATGGGTGGTCTAGTTTAACAATGGAGACAAGAACATTAACCAGAACTCTGAGTTGGAACTTTGAATCAACAAAAATATAAACAAAATAATTGCTCGTTTCTCTCACTTTATTCTTTATTGTAACATACCAATAAAATTTGTTATCCTACGATTTCTCGATGTCCACCAAATTTAAAAGACAAGCAAACAAATCCTTTGGCATTCCACTTTCAATTAAGGAATCACAACTTCGTTCTCGACACCAAATCTTTCCAACTACAAAAGCTTCTCCTCCCCCTCGTCTTTTCCTTTCTTGGAACTCAATGGAATCAAACCCTTTTCTCTGCAAGTATCCACAGCTCCTCGAAACATTTCCTCTAATCCATACTTGAACTCGAACCCCAACTTCTTCAGCTTCTCCGACGAGAACTTCACTTTTTTCAATTCGCCTCGATCGATGCCCTCAAACCTACGACACCACACCGTCGTTTCACAAACAACGAGCTAAATATTGGAAATCAAGTAGCTAGGTACACTATTAATTACCTTGACGGGATTTCATACTTCGGATATTTTTCTTCGAGTAATTCGGCAAGCTCGTAAATGTTGATGTCGTCGCTATTGCAGATGTAACGCCCCTCAGCGTTCGGATGCTCGAACAGAAAGATATGAGACATGCAGAGGTCGTCCAGGTGCACGAAATGGCCTTGCTCTATTATCGAATAATGTGGTTTGTTTCCTGTTGGTTTGGAGGCCCAAAAACAATTGCTAAGGATTTGTTGCCACTTGGAGAAATTTTCTTATTCAAGAAAAAAGGTGATTAAGGATCAAAACAGGTAATTTATCTCTACTATCTACCTACCTGTAATTAGGGAGAGTGCAGTTATAAGGCTGGGAGGCATGGACTGCATAATGAATGGACCAACCACCAAAGTTGGTATGATGCTAATGAAATCCAAGTCGTTCTCCTTAGCAAATTTCCACGCCTCTTTCTCTGCCAAAATCTTGGACACGAAATACATCTGTGGCGATTTTGGTTTGCACCAACAAACCAGATTAGCTAGGTTATCTGTCATAAACTAGTTAGTCCCAATAACTCAAGTTGTCGGAAGAAAGTTATGTTAGATCTTATACCACTCTCTAACATTATCGATCAAATGAATCCACAACAATTAAAATATAAAACAGATAAATATAAAATTGAGGGAAATCAAATACCCATCCGGTCATTTTGACGCGTTGGATGAACTCCAAATCGCTCCAATTGTTCTCGTCGTAGATGGGCTTCGGGTGCTCTTCCGCATCCACGGTGCCGGCGGATGAAGTGAACACTATTCTCCTCACGGTCCGGGCCTTGGCGCAGGCCTTCATGATGTCCAGTACGCCGTCCACCGTGGGCTTTATCACCTCATTCTGGCCCAACAACAACAACAAAGATAAACACCTTCAGTTTCAGTATGAGCTTATAGAACTCAATAATTTATGCAATTGTATTGTTGCATTACTTCGGGGTCGGGGGAATCGAAATCCATGGGAGTGGCGACGTGGAAGACGCCGGAGCAGCCGTGGATGGCGTCGTCGAAGCTGCCGGGGACGGAAAGGTCGGATTTCCATAACGTCAAGTGGGTGTTTGCGTTTGGCAGCTCCACCAGATGCTTCACTTTCCTCTCATCGCCTAATAATAATATATATGATAAAAAAAAGGAAAAGAAAACTGAGTATAGTCGGATGATCTGGTTCATTAGCACTGGTATGATATGAGTCGATTAGTAGAGGTAGAGAAGGAATTAATTACTTACCGGGGTCGCGAACGGTGGCTCGAACCGTATAGCCTTGCTCGAGCAGCCTCATGGTGAGCCATGACCCGATGAACCCAGATGCACCAGTTACACAAACCGTCTTCACTTCCCCTTCTGCACCCATAACAACAACGGGGACAATTTACTTACTGGTCAGATAAATATTGCTGGGTTTATTTTTTTTACCACTCCTGAATTGGTTGTTGGGTTCTTCTTTTGTTGAGTTGGAGGCGCCCGTTTTATACAGAGGAGGGAAAATGGATCGTGATTTATTTTGGTCAATATTCTATCTACCAAACACTTGAGAAGAACAGCTAAGCCATGTCACCAACCGACGGTCATTGCGACGTGACGTGGTGTCTTCAGAAATGCAAAGTTTAGCTACCCGGAATCGTAAAATAAGATTAAGAGAGACATTTTTTTCTCATGTTGATGAGTCATGTGTAATCTCCTAAGTAAGTATTGATGGCCATTTTTGAGCAATTCTCCTGTTCCTTCCATTTTGCCATACTTTGTTTCCTTATACATATTTCTCTCCTAATTGTTTTACCGACCATTGTTCTTCCATCCGTTCAAAAATCCAATGGGGACCAGTTACGGTAACAACACCCCTTGTGTTGTTATTGTAACAACACTAGTCTCCAACCAATAGGAAGCTAGGGTTATGATGACTTTTTATTAGATGAGTTGACCTAGTGTAAAATCAAAGCAGGGGTATAATTGTCATTATGAGAAATATGTTTAAATAATAAAAAAATAAAAAAATATTTTTTTTTCGGACCAAAAATTTGGTCGCCGGAATTCGGTCAACGGTCGCCGGAATCTGGTCTCCGGTCACCGGAATATGCTTTTTTGTCGCCGGAATATGCTATTGTGTCATCGGAATATGCCACCGTCGTCGGAATATGCTCACCGGCGTCGGAATATGCTTACCGGCGACGGAATCTAGTCATCGAGGCCGGAATATGCTTATCGGCGCCGGAATCTACTCACTGACGGTCACCGGAGTTCGGTCAACGGTCTTCGTTGACCGGTCAACGGCCAACGACCACCGGATGTTATGGTCTGCATTATGAGATTTATGGTTTGGTTTCTCATATTTTTGTATGCCTTTTGTGGTTTGCTTTATCGTGTTTGTGGTTTGCATTAAGAAGTTTCTGGTTTGCTTTATCGTGTTTGTGGTTTGCATTGAGAAGTTACTGGTTTGCTTTAAAAAACTTTGTGGTTTGCATTGTGAGGTTTCTGGTTTGTTTTAATATATTTGTGGTTTGCATTAGGACGTTTATGGTTTGCTTTTTTGTGGTTTGATTTACTGTGTTTGTGGTTTGCATTAGGAGTTTTCTGGTGTGTTTTCGCAAATGTTGTGGTTTGCTTTGTGAGGTTTCTGGTTTGTTTTAATATATTTTTGGTCTGCATTAGGAGGTTTCTGGTTTGCATTAAGAAGTTTCTGGTTTGTTTTATCGCATTTTGTGGTTTGCATTAGGAGGTTTCTGGTTTGTTTTAATATATTTGTGATCTGCATTAAGACGTTTTTTGTTTGCTTTACCGTGTTTGTGGTTTGCATTAGGGGGTTTCTGGTTTGTTTTTTTGTGGTTTACTTTACGGCATTTGTGGTTTGCATTAGGAGGTTTCTGGTGTGCTTTCGCAAAATTTTTGGTTTGCTTAGTGACATTTGTGGTTTGTTTTAGGGGATTTGTGGTATGCATAAGAAGGTTTTTGGTACTTTTTTTTAGTTTGGTTTACCGTATTTGTGGACTGCATTAGAGGGTTTCTGATGTAATTATGAGATACTTGTGCTGTACATACCAATAAATTCCAAATACATAGTATAAACACAATAACCCGTAAGAAAAATCGAAAAGCACGATCCTCACGAACGTTGTTGTTAACTTCGATAATCTTGGATCCAGCCAAGAGTTGCATCACCAGTACAATCATCAATTAAAGCAAACCTAGTACTTGAACGACATGCAAATCAAAGTACAATGCTTTCTAATCTGGATATGTAAAAGTCCACCGTGACTGTACTATGTTTTCATCATCTCACTATAGAGGCAGGGCAACTCCACCGCGATAAAGAACAGCACTAAAATCTCCGGCGATGCTATTACTATCAGCCACCTTTATCTCTTCCTTCCCCACCATCACCAAAACCGCCGCTATCGTCCAGATTTCCTCCCTCTCCCATCTGATTTCTCCGCCGCCCGGCGAATCTCGTCCTCCATCTCCTGAAAGCTGCTACTCATCACTTTATTCCAGTATTCCCCTGCTGCGCTGCTACGACGACCATCAACCTCCTCCTTCTTCGTCTTCGTCTTCTCCTCGTGCGGAGGATCCAGATTCAATCCACTCTCCGCCGCTTCATTTACCACCAACGGACCTCCCCAAGCTTTTCCAGGTTCACTCCTCTTTCCCTCTCCCCTGCTCTGGGGAACGATTCTCAATTTACAATCCCCTTTCAGCGCACTGAATCTTCTTCCTGCTGATGTGGTCTCCGCCGCCTCCGGATTCACCCTTCTTAGGACGCGGCTCGTTAATTGACCCGCTCCAAGAAATCACTATGTGAGTTGTGAAGAAGAAGCGGAGGAGAAGCTGATGGTGGCGGAAGAGAAGCTGATGGCGGCGGAGGAGATCGAGGTCTGGTAGGGGAAGAGATCTCCTATTGCAACTCCTCGGAAGAGCGCCGTCTGTGCCTGCGCCGGAGGGAAGAAAACTATCGGTTGCAGAATACGGTTGGGATCTGAAGAATTGGGGATTGGAGGAGAAGGAGAAACACGTTTTTATTACCTTTTTTAATTTTAATTTTATTAGTTTTCTTGTAAGTTTACCCTTATACCCTTGTTGTTACAGTAACAACATAATGGGTGTTGTTATTCTATCTGGGCCCAATCCAATGAGAAGGTGAAACAAATTCGAAATGAAATAAATACATATGTTTCGCATGGATTCGGTTTCACATGATTTTCTTTGCATTTCATTGGGTTTTGATCCAAGCAGAATGTTACTTTAGTATTTTTTAAGGAGATCAATATGGAATGGAGGTTACCATTACTATTTACTAATTCGTCAATCGTCTATCACATTCACCTATTTACGGGGTCCTCTCCGGTTGGGCCTTGTGAATTATGCTCCGTGGGTCAAATGGACCACACAAGAAGTTTAAACCGCTACCAGGGCCCAATAAGCTAACCAAATTTGTAAATGATGTAGTTGGGCCGATAGTCCATGAGCGTGAGTGGGACTGGGATGTCAGAAGGGAAGGTGGCGCATTTCCCGCCGGCAAACCGACCGTCCCCTCCACCGCCCTCGGTGAAAAAGAGTTGGGTCGGCCTCGGCCACTTAATTTGAGGCTTCTTTTCATTCCCCAACGTCGACTTTAATACCTGAAAATAAGGAAGGAAAAATAATAAATCCATTGACAGTTTGATACTTGATAGCAAACAAAACTAAAGAATAAATACAGAGTTTCTTCAACTCTATCGTATTACCAAACTACTAAATTGAAATTATATCACAATGTCAACAACCTACAACAAATTGAATCTCGATCCCAAGCTTTTCCTTGAAAAGAGAGCAATTTTGTACGTGACGATTCTATTTTTGGGAACTTTCAGGCGCGTGGGCCTGGTCTGCAGCAGAGACAGAGAGAGAGAGAGAGAGAGAAGGCAGAGAGAGAAACAGAGAGGACAACGTACGTGGACATGGACGTGGGGGAAGAAGAAGAAGAACACCATCCTCTGGAGCTGAATGAACTGCATGCAGTTGCTTTTTAAAAATTGAGATGAAACTGTTCACATGGCGGTCTACTGTTTTCCAGGGCCAACTTTTGTGGCGGAGGTGCATCCCTTTCCCCTGCCTGCAGCCTTTCTCTTCACGTGTCTGTCGTCGTTGCAGTGCAGCAGTTTGTTTTCTCCCAAACTTAACTGAAAATCAGCATTCACTAATGCTAATCATCTCTCCACCCCTATAAACTAGCTTTTTTTTTTTTGACAATAAGTCTCTGCATTCCCATTAATCAGAGTTTGGTTACAGGATTGGTAGTAAGATATTGAGGATTGCAATCCAGTCTCCCGGGAGTTGGTTTTTAGCTCTAGATCGGGCCACCCAGTTGGCCAACACATTAGAATCCCTTTTAACAAAAACCACCTTACCTCCATTTAAGCTGCGGAGACTCTCACAAATGGCATCAATTCGAGCTGCAATGATCCATGGCCAGTTGTGTCTCGGCCCTTCAATCGCATCCACCAGCACCTTGCAATCCGATTTGATAGTGCATGTCTGGGGGAGAGACAGGGCAAACTTGCATCCTTCGTGTACCGCTACCGCTTCTGCTTCCAAAGCTGACTCGCAGAGCAGGGAATCGGCCCTTCCTTCGTAAACCTCACCATGGGTATTAAGAACAACAAACCCATATGCCGCCTCCTGGGAATCGTCAAAATACGATCCGTCACAGTGAATCTCCTCTCGGTGATTGCTTGGCGGTGGTGTAGGGTGGGAAAGAGGTGGATTAGGCCGACGTGGCGCACCATTACTTTCTCTTCTAGTCTTTGGGCAGTTCTTCCAGAAGAGGAACTCGTTCGTAGCTTGCGAGATGGTGCGTGGTGGCCATGGTGCTCTATTCCTGAAGATCATATCATTCCTGGCCTTCCAAATGTTCCACAGAATAAAGACTGCGTTCTGCGGGCCCTCTTGTGGCCAGGCTTCCCCGACTTCCCACAACCAGAAGTTGACTTTTGCCGAGGGTGGTGGTAGGGGGAGAGAGGGGGCAAACCGTGTCCATGTTTCCTTCGCATGTGGGCATTCAAAGAGGACATGGAAGATCGATTCCTCATCCGCCCTACACAGCGGGCAAGCTTTTGATCCTGCACAGTGTCTTTCAAACAGGTTTTTCTTGGTGGCCAGAGCTCCTCTCGATGCTTTCCAGATGAAGAAGGTGATCTTTGGGGGCAAATTCAAGCTCCACAGCCATTTCCATCTTTCCTTCTCCCATTGGGAGGTTCCTGTCCTACCAGATGCTCCCCCTCGGATAGAATCATGGAAAGCCCGATACGCTGACTTAACCGAGAATTCACCATTCACTGTGAATCTCCAAGCCCAGAAGTCTTCCATGCCCTGTGAACCAATTGGAATCCTGAAGATGGCTTGCTGTATCTCTTCTGAGATGCTCCCCTCATAACCAGAAAGGTTCCAAGCCCTGTCTTCCTGAGTTATAAACTCCTCAACT